AAGAAGATCCTTGACAGAATGCTTTGGATTAAAGCAGAAAATTTAATTCACACAGAAACAAAAATCAATGTATAAACATTGTACTTATTCAAAAAATTCTTTATCCTTACTACTCCAGCTTATTTTCCTAGTTGCTACCAGAACTGGGTCTTACTAAAAACCATAACATCATTCTCATTTTTCTGTGTCTTCCCATCCTTCCACCATCTCAGCAGTTAGCTATTTCACAATTTCTGACCGCTTCATAATCCTCAGTTTTAACTTGAGCGCTTTCAGTTTGTTGCACCGTTGCAAGAAAACTGGCTTCTTTTTCCCCATCTGTCCCACCCTTATTCAAGTATCAGGCTAAATAACAATGCTAAATAACATGAGTACAAATTCTTCCATAAAGGTTTTAATTTAGCAGGCTAGCTATAAGGTTTATAAATATCTGCCTCAAACAAATGCGAGTATGGATCATAAACAGTATAACCATTTTCTGAAAATAAAACGTTGTACAAGGCTTTGTTTCATTACCAGAAGTGCAATTATCTGAGACTGCCAATTGCTGCTTTGGCTGCATTCCCTGTCTGCTGGAGAGGTAACTCCCTTGTAAGGATGTGCGGTGAAACAGGTGCAAAAGAAGACATGAAAATTGTGTGCGGATACATCACTAGAGAAGCTGGATGGCATGATTCACATTTGTTTCCTGGAGATGTTTAAGAACCTTCTGAAAATATGATGATAAAGCAGACAGAAGTGTTCTCTGGCTAAACAAGCGACTGGCCCAGAAAAGTCTAGGATTTGTAGCACGCGAAGTGTGAAATGAAGGATTGCGCCACCTTAGCCAAGTTAAATTCAGTCTTTTGCCGAGTCTTTGAGGCTGATCTTGAAGGACAGGATGGAAAAGTCATTAAAAACAAAAGCAATGAAAAAGAAAAGAAAAGAAAAGAAAACACAGAACAAAAAACCACAAGTATCTGCTGCATGACCCTAGACATCCAGTAATATTACCTACTGGCTCAGATGCTGAGGGTCATGTTCAGACCACATAAAATACAATTTTAAAATATAAACAAATAAAATGAGATTAATGGAGATAGAATCTCATTAAAAAAACTAAATAGAGAAGCAAGAGGTGTGGGATGTGTGACAAGGTGTAAAAAAATTTAAAGATTACTTTTTTCCTAGTTTGCTACTAGGAAACAATGGCATGAAACCCCCAAATCCAGAAATCATACATATTTCTGAATTTTACATCATCAGTGAACTATCTTAAACCCACACTTGCCCTAAATGTTGCGGCTGTCCTTACCAGACATACCCACCCTGGATAATTTGTCTTACTGTATTAAATCACCAAATATTGGTTTTGTTTTTGGAGAAAATAAAAAGTTTTTTTCAACTTATTATAGCGAAGAATCACACAGATGACTTTCAGGAGAAAAGGATACTTCCCCCATTATCTTCTGAATCTCAACAAGTACCCAACAGGCCTTTTTTATAAGTTACATTAATGTGTAACTCAGGAAGAAAAGTGAATCGTTTGTAGCAGCAAGACATCAGCTGTCCTTGCTCACTACCTAAGAGTTAATTTTACAGCAAGCTGCAGCTACTCTGCTCCTACTGTATTTATACCGGTTTGAGAATGTTTCAGGGCATTTACTGCTTTAGTACCTGTTTGTCCCTTTTTAACACGTGTAAGATGATGGGTTTTAAACAGAGATAATAATTCAGGAAAGCTATGAGTTCTTTTATAAATACTTTAATTAGGAGCATGACATTTCTTTTCAAACAAGAGCAGCTTCTTAGTTTCTTTTGCCTGGAAGGAACTGACTTCCCCTATTTAATTTGATTTGTTACTGCTTTTTGACTAACACCCTAATCCTCTTAAACAATTTTCGCTCAGTTCTGTAGTCTGTTATTGATAGAAGTTTCAAAATTATGAAAATGATATGCTTTCTAGGCAGGTGGAAAGAAAAGGAAGGCTTTTAAGATATGTTTACTCTGCCATCAAAAAAAGAAATGCGTCACTATATGTGAATAATATTAATCTCAGACCTGTGTTAGGTACTGGCTATACCTTAGAAATAATGGCATGGACTTTATCCTAGGTTTGCTGCTCAGGATCTCAAGGGAGTTTATACAGCTCTCCCTGACACACATTTCCATGGTTTTACTGCGATTAGTATCCGAACTAGCAAGATTAAAAGCTGTTCAGGAATGTCTCTGCAGGCTGCTGTACCTACAGTTGAAGCTCAGTCATGCTTTTTCTAGCTGCAAGCTAAGATCTTTCTACACAAAGAACTGGAATGTACGGAAATGACTGAGATCACACTCCACGTTACACTAAAATACACAGCAAAATAAAAAATTAAATACATAGTGAAACTGCAGTTAAATAAATATCGGAATGGAAAGAGATCAGCGAGATATCAAAGTTGTTCTCTTGACGGCCTCTCAAAAGAAAATCGAAGAACAGGTGACTATTTGAAAAAAACTCCTTTCCAAATCCACTTCCTCTGGTTCATCTCCAAGCATCACCTCAGTCTGAAAACCTAGGAAAAAGTTGAGGGCACTAGCCAGCCAGCTGACCAAAAGTAACAGCCACGATGACATTCAAGCATTTGTATGTCTCTCAGACTATGGCATAAATCTTCTAGGGCCCCTGTAACCACCTGCAGGATTGACTTTGACTTGAGACCTATGAAAAAAAGGTGCTTTTTGAGGCAGATGCTCTTTACACATCAAACCTTGGTTCATTTCCTTTATTTTAAACTTATCAGTCACAGTGACATTTCTGATAATCATGCTCTTTTTCTGCAGCTACACTCTCCTGGTTACACTGTCTTACAGCTGTTCTTTTTCATGTCTCCTATTCCTGTAGTGCACTGCTGCACTGTCCTTTTGACTGATGGTTGCTTCCCTCTTCTATCCCTTTCATCACCTTAAAGTATCTCTTTTCGAAATAAAATGCAGATTTAATATTCATAGATTATATTCCATATGTAAAGGTTTTGTACCTGCACTGTAGCCAGGTAGGTAAGAAATAAAGCAACTAGGGACCAGGGCACCTGCAGAAAAATCCTGGAAAATATTTATTTACTCACCTAAACAAAAAAAGCAAATAATGAAATATTTAGTCCTCAAAATTCATTTTCAGTAAAAAAAAAATAAATTGGGGTGGATTTTGAACAATATTGTCACTGCCCCTAGCTTCTGAATTTTTATCAAAAGATGAAAACCTGTAAATAAAAATAATCATTAACCCCAGATTCTTATCCAATCATTAGTTAATTTTCCAAAATTAGCTCTCCAGAGTTGCAGCAACATTTCTGTGAGTTTTTGATGGGCTTTTGGGGGGGCTTGAAAAGCCATTAGAAATTGTATTTAACTCTAGCATCACCCTCCTCTTTTCAGTCTGTCCCTCTTTTATTTTTTATTCTTTTTAATAGAAGCTTCTGGCTTTTACTGTGACAGTAAATTCATAACAACTTTTTCAAAACAAGTATTTCACGAACTAGTGAGAGGAGCTGGTTAGCCAAAGTATCAACCTCCCCATTCTATTCATATCTCCTAAAGTCAGGAGCCTACATTGCTGACTGTAAGCCAGTCCTTTGCCTCTGATCCTCTGATATTTCCTAGGTATGTCTACTGCCAGATTAAAAACATCTGCTGGACCAGGCAGATTTATCCACAGTTCAGCCAAATCTCTTAATCAGATTCAATTTCCTCTTGTCTTGGTCCCTTTAATTCTCTCCTTATTGTTTGCTTATATCTTAACTTGAAACTTCAACAATTAATCTTCTCTTCCAAAGCTGGAAATAGCATCTCATTCCCAGATTCAAAACCCTTAGATCCATTTCTGCAGCTAATATAAAAGCTGTCTGCACCTTCAAAGTTCTCAGGTCCATAGAAACTTTCTGTGTCTATTCTATTTGTAGCTCCCACCAACATCAGATGGCAGATTGTTTTCTGTCCTCCTTCCTTATTTTATGTCTGTGACTAGACAATAATGTCGCAGTCTTCTTGTATCTAATGCCTGTGGTTTGAATCTTTCACTTCAAATTATTTTCTCTACCTGACGTTCTAAATCCTACCTCAAAATCCATTTCTTCTACGGCTCTTTCAATTCCACAGTCATAAATGCAAGCTGACCCTGTCCAAGTTTATAGTTTTTTATTTGAAACTTTTTCATTGTATTCACCTCTTCTACAGGTATCACCAATCTAACTTTACTTCCCCAAAAGAATTAGTTTTAGTTAAGTATCTTTTCCCAGTGTCACAGTGGAAGATATAGTCCATATTCGGTTTCATTGGTAATGATACCAAACTCTAGCTTAACTCCAGGCAAGGGAAACAGATACAATTCTGCAGTAAAGCAAAAAAGTGTGATTGTTGAGTTCTCACAGTTTAATTGGAAGTCTTGTGACATTTGACATTCTTTCTCAAAGTTTTAGCTCTCAAAGCTAGTTGATTATGTAAGACCCTTTTTCATTAATTTTGTTTCAGATGGACCTTGACAAGCAACTCAGACAAACCTTGTTTAGACAGTGTATGACTCCCACAGCTCAAAGCCAACAATATCTAACCTTTATGTACATTAAAAATAGCTTGGAAATATGACCAGAGTGAAGTTGAAAGGCTTAGCGAGCAAAAAAGCAGATTAAAAAAAAAGATTATTTTAAAAGTATTTCTAGCTATGCTGATAATTTTGGGTGTGTGGCTTATACCTTGGGAAACCTTTGAGATAGTAATAGTCAAAGACAGGTATCTTCTGATTCAAGAAATCAGACACAACAGATTTATTCACTGAAAACCCCAAACTGAGTGTTCATACATCTGCAGTCTTCAATAGTAGAATGATATAAAGTATAGATCCTGCAAAAAAAGGAGGCAGGCCCCAAACCCCATCCCTACAGCCCTTTTACTTGTTCCCCATTGGCTACCCCAATGCTCCACAGAGGCTGACATTTATCAGTGGCCCTGCTCACAGGCCGAGCGGCCCCACTGGCACTCACCACCGGCCGGTGCACATCCCAGAATGCTCGCTCCTGGCTGTCAAGAATCTTCCTCTCTATCTTGTCTCTCTTCTTGTCCACTCTGTCAATGTTATAGGATATTTAAAAGAAATGGTGTTAAATGACAGTAATTTTAAATCTATGAAGTGTCCAATCACTTTTCCCTCCCCTTCTCCCTTCAAAAAGCATGCAAAACCAAAACTCCTTGTCTTCAAAGGAACTTACTTTGCTTGTGCTTCAGCTTGCATAAAAATAAACTCCCATTTCCGAGCAAATGCTCGCTGTAGCCTGGCCAAACTCTCCTGAAAATACACCACAATTTTAGTGAGTTAGGTTGTAAGTTATTTACTATTTAATAGCTTTTAGCTTATCTTTTCCTCCTCTCCTCACCTCCCCCGCCCAAGATGTAATACAAGTCATGATATCTGTGCCAGTGTAAATGTACCTTACCTGCTATGAAGTCTTTGCCTGACACCAAACGGGATGGAATACTAGATCTATCTACTTTTGAATGCCCTGACTATTTTAGTTTTGAAACTCTGATGACAAGGGTGGATGCAACCTTCAGCAGAACATGGGATTTCTGAAGCATTTTTATATACTGGGTGCTGGATGAGTAATTTTGTAATAATACAAAGAAACATTCTTGTTTTGAAAGTCCCTAATACTGAAAGATAACAGCAGTACTTTCCATACTGGATGATCCACATGACAATTCTCATCAGTCATCTATACAAATAGTTTGCATTGAACAATGTTGGCTGCCTATCAATTTATTTAAAATACAACAATAAGAAGCTATCAATATTTTGGTAGTGTAGGAATCTTCCAAGAGCTCCACATATATCCTAATTTAAAAAAAGATGCAGACTATAGTTCTTCACTACTCTACAGGAAATGTATATATCCTACAGCCTACTAGTAATGACAGGAAGAAGACTTGTAAAAGTAAAATTTTTTCCTCCAGTGATGCTGGAACAGCTTCACTGTCTGTAACAGAGCTTTTCCGATCTCCCTCCAGCTTAAATGGCAGCAGTATGCAGTCCGTTAACATGGAGAAGGCTGAGGTTCTTACCTTCCTTCAAAAAGACCCCAGTTACCTTCGTGCACTGCTTTTACTGAGACTAAGTGAAAAATTGTCTGTAAAATTCCTAACAAAAAGTGTTGCTTTAACTGTATTTCTATGCGTGGAAAATGTATCTCTATGACATACTTACTGAAAATAAAGACTGCAGAGAGTGAAGAGGAGACTTTCTAGAGATCTTGTCAATACCATTACTGGCTCTCATGGATTGTATACTGGAGGTGAATTTTCTAAGGCATGTAAGAATAAAATTATGCATACCCCACAGGGCAGTACATTGAAAAGCAAGCTTGTGCCAGGAGAAGCAATAAAGTGTGTCAGCATGGTGCTGCGGCTGGAATATTTGGCATGGTGAGAGGCCTGGCTGACTATCCTGCTATCATGTCACAGTAGCACAGCTGGACAGCTTTCAGCGCAGAGCCAGGGCTGTTCATGAATTTTATGTTGACATTTACATGAAAAATTCAGGAACTTTTGGGGGGACAGGGATGGAATTCAAGACATCTCTTTCCTTAGCAAGTGCCATCCTCATCGGCTAATCAAACTCCCTCTTTTTTCCGTCTCTTCCTGGCCCCAATTATCTCACCTTGTCTGGGGCACAACACAACTTTTCAGGGAGTGGGAAGTGCCTCTAGTCTGACTCTCTTTGCCTCTCATCTAAGAGATGGGACAAGGGCTCAAGTGCCAGCATCATTTTAAAGAATGAGATTTCTATTTCTACAGCTACCAAGTGCTTTTGAAAACGTTGCCAGAGATCCTTCATTCAAACCTTATCATGGTATAGAGTACAATTGCTTTCAAATACTCGTGGTATATCTGGGATTTGTGAACAGTTATTTCTGATCCTGGCATGGTGATCTGACCAGAGTAAGATTAGAGATGGACCAAAATCTCAACTTTTGCCCAACTAGCCTTCATAACAGTCTCTCAAGCAGCATTTATGACTACTGAGCACTGTCAGACCCACACGCTGGCAAAAGTGGAAAACTAATAAATTTTCACACAGAATGCCTATAGTTCTCATGCTTAACATTATTTCACATGCTCATTGGGGCCAGCAGAGATATTTACTTTTCCCCAGGTACTTACAGCTTCATAGTCTGCTAGCTCCAGCCTTGCTTTGTTTTGCATTGTCCGCTTGCAGAGGTAAACGGCTGGAACAGAACAAAATAACACAGAATTTGCTACTATCTCACAAACACAGCAGACCAGAAATCTAGAGGATTCATCTCTATTTTACTGCTAGCTTTTTTTTGTTTTGATTTCTCCCTCTATTCTAAAAAGCTTTAAATATGGGATCAATGCTACCAGTATGGTAACTAAAATGATGGGTCAAATACAGAGATTCATTAAATAATTATAAAATCTGCTTTATGCAACAGTCATCATATACAAAATGCATGAGATACTTGAGGTGAGGTTGTTTAATGGCCAGGGAACTAGCACATTAAAGAAAAAAATGGCAAAAGCATTTTTTAAACTGTGTGTGTATAACTCATAATGCACAAGAGTTTTATCAGGAGCTGCTGCTATATTAGTCAAATAGGTTTTTAAGAACATGTACACATGCTTTTAGTTATTTTTACTTTATATTTAGAAATCACAGAATGTCAGCCTAAGAAGATTTTAGCTAAAAATTAATTCCAGATAAAATTCAAGTCTCATACAGATTAGTCTGCTATAACCAATATTTAAAACAAAATAATGTGAGACCAAAAAATGAAAAAAGTGTATCATGTATTAGATATAATGAGAAAAAAATTTTCATTTATTTTCTAGATCCAAAATCCTTCAGCAGAGCTGTTCTGCCTCCACCTCATTCAGACAGAGCAGAATCTTAACTAATAAAATGGCGTACTGACAGCTAAATACTGAAAGGACGCAGGGATGAAAATGAAACTTAAGACTACATAAACAGTACGGTGGTTTGCATCACGTTGCTTGATCCTGAATTCTTTATGCACCCCATTACCCTTGAATGAAGTACATTTCCAAAAGACTGACTTTAGCAACAAATACTTCACATCAACACTGAATATTGTACAGCTTCCCCCACCAGTAAGACAATGAGTGCAGCACAATTCCTTATTGCGCAATATTTACCCACTTCATTACTTCAGAGCACCTTCTCATGTGTGAGATGAGGAATCTTTCGATCAGTGTAGGTAAGAAAACCTTTAACTTATCCGTGGTCTCTACGATCAGCACAAAGAGCCCATATGTACTGGTTGTGGTTAGGAATGTTCCTGCTTCCTGACTGCCAGCTTGTCCACTACAGGAGCAAAGAGGAATAACATAGGAACCTAACTCTTGAAATCACTGGGAAGAAGGAAGCGCTCTTCTTATATATAGCTTTTATTTTTAAGGTAGTCAAACCAGTTATATTTTACAACTCCATGGAAACATTTATTTCTGACAAGTCACCTGCAAATGTATGCAAACCCACTCAAGTGGGTGCTATTTCAGAGGAACTGATGACAAGCACTTGTAGTAACTCCAGCTGCAGTTACAGGTGTTACTTGATGTAAAATGAAGTTACATTTTAATGCAGTTTTTGTCTCCCCCATCCCCCCACCCTGCCTCATTTTCTGTGTGTTATCTGGTCTATTTTCTTCCATACTTTTTCACTTTCCACTCCCATAAGAAGCCATGGTCTCTTTCTCTATTCCCTGCACTCCCATATCTTATTGCAGCCTATCAGTACTTAAAGGGGGCTTATAAAAAAGACAGCTGCAAACTTCTTAGCGGGGCCTGTTGCAACAGGACAAGGAGGAATGGCTTTAAACTCAAGGGGGGTAGATTTAGACTAGATAGAAGGAAGAAATATTTTACGCTGGGGGTGGTGAAACACTGGCACAGGTTGCCCAGAGAGGTGGTAGATGCCCCATCCCTGGAAACATTCAAGGTCAGGTTGGACGGGGCTCTGAGCAACCTGCTCTAGCTGAAGATGTGCCTGCCCACGGCAGGGGGGTTGGACTAGACGACCTTTGGAGGTCCCTTCCAACCCAAACTATTCTATGATTCTATATCTCCTCTGGTTCCAAAGCAATTTCTGTCTACAAAATCTACAAATACAGATACAAATCCATGTCACACACCAAGTATAGCAGACAAACAGTTTCTATAGCCTCAGTTTCCATGAATTTTAATATTAGTATACACTTACACTAATGTATTGGCATGCATGCTGAAATGTCACAAAAAGATGAGGGGATGAATTCTGGACCCTTTGTATCCAGGTTGCAGCCACAATCAGTACAGTGGTATGAGAATACTGAGGAGAGAGGTGGTCTTTGTCAGTTAGGTCCTTTTACAGTGAAGCATTTTCCTCTCTTTTCCTTCAAAATCGGTTATTTTATTGAACAAGAAAAAAATAATCCCTGAACCCCTTGAAAATATTAGCAATAAAATACATATTTAATAGAAATGCGTAGACAGTCCTGAGAATTCCAGGGGTCAAATTTTGTCTAGTCTGACCAGTCTAATACCACCTGAACAGAGACAAAACAAACTCCCTGTTCTCTGCACTTGATTAAGCCCTTGTAAACCACATTCCGTAGTCCCTGTAAAGGCACCTTTAGTTAGCTTAGCACTTCCTTGAGTCCCATTGTGGGTATTTTTTGGCATTAGCATCTCCTGCTACCTCCAACAAAAATCGTTGCTGCAGAGATGGCTGACTCTTCATTTTTCTGTCATGATAGGTTTTAACAAAAAAGCATCTTCTGATCACAGATTTCTCAACACTGGCAAAACAACCACCAGGTCACCAGGAGCAGGAGAGAGGAATTAGCTTGCCACACTATTAATCTAATAGTGCGTCTGAGAAAACTCTTGTCTTCACTGTGTGACTGTACTGCAGTATTTTCCCTGCAGGGTTCTTTTAATGACCCTTTTTGCTCCAACTCCATAGCAAATAGTCCATACAAGACTGTTTGTTTTTTATTATGAGCATATATTAGACTCAAAAAATCACGTTCATCCCTCAGAGCTTTTTTCTCTGGAATATCCAGATCCCCTCCCCTTCAGGTGCCTAAAGGTTATAATACATGTGGCTTGGATCCTTTATGTCAGGAATGTTTCTACGTGCCAGTGTGGATAAGGCAGAATATGCCCAAGAAAGATTTAGTTCTTTGGGAAATAAAACATATCCACTAATGTAGAAGAAAACAGTCCTGAAGGACATTCCTACTCTTTGACTCAATTTACTGCCATTTCTATGTGCTAACAATTACATCCTTATTATAGAAGTGCATGTTTGAGGATCTATTTAAGAGCTACTTGTAGTCATACAAGAAGCTGGCGGAGCTCAGGAATTTGAGTTCACCACTTCACACTCTCGTTATCATATTCTTTGGCTTGTCTGTAACAAAATTCACTAGCACGTTGGAAAGCAAGAATAATGTGAAAATCACTCTTGTTTTCAGCCAGAACATTTGAAGACACAGAGAAATAAGGTTTTGTTCTTCTGACTTTTAGAGCAATGAAATCTGAAATACAGATACTCCCATCTTTTGCACACACCAAGACACGTGTGAAGTAACTGCATGTATCCAGTAGCCTGACCTTGAGTATCTGTGGAGGATGTCAGAGAGTTTCTTTCTCCAAGCAGAGTCATGAGCCCTCAGCATTTCAGAGAGTGACAGTGTCTGCTTTTCTAATCCCATGGTTTATATGAGTTGTCAGTGTTTTTACAGCTTCATACAGAAGTACAATCTGCAGGAAGGGTCTCGAACTAAAAGCTCTTCTATTTCTCTATATAGTTCTCTATTTATCTACCCCCCAAAGGTCCTGGTCAGGGCCCTCAGTACACCGAGGAGAGGTAATTGCCCTGAGCAGTCCATCCAGGGTCTCCACTGAGGCCCCCTGTGCTCAGGAGCTGTGCTTAAGCCCAGCTACTTCCCCTGGCCCCTGCTTGAGCTACGTCGTAGATATGCCTCTAACCAGCCCTGTAACTTACCAATGCTGCCCTGGCTTCCTGGCTTGACCTTGGACCTTCCTGTTCACTTGAGACTTTGTCAGTGAGGACATTGTTCCTGCCTGCGCTGTTGCCACCCTCAGTTCTTGCTTACCTTCCCTTGCAGAGCTGCCCGCTCTTGCCGCTCCCTGACAAGGGTGCTGAAAAATGCTTAACATATGGATGAATGATATGCAAGGAACAGGGTCTGATTAATACCCTCAATTTGCTAAATATGGACTGCCACATACACTCTTATTTTTAGAGCCACTGTATTCTGATGGATTTTGCAATCAACATAATTGCCTCCACTAAAGTGATTTATATGTTAGATGCTATAGCTTGTGCTTTAGAAGTGATTGATTATCATGAGAAAACAGATTTGCCAATAATTTTAAAGGCAATATTAATACACAACATTTCATAACGAAACATGGTCAGTGATGTTTATAAATGGGCATTTGAACCATGAACTAGTACTAAAATACACTTTGGTAGCTGTGCAGTAAATACAGACTACTCACTCTTGAAAATTCTGTTCAGTCATTCACAAAACGTGGGCAATGTGAGAGCTTAAAGTGAGATTGCAAAGTGTTCTAGTGAGAGTTGCATGAAGAGGGTGTCTGGGTTTTCCCTCTTGCAAGTTTTTAAACTGTTAATCCCAAAATAACCCATTTTCATGGTTAGTTACCTTTGTTTCCTATTCTTGACCGTTCACGTGTACTTGAAAGCTCCTAAGAAACCTCTATAGATTTTTTTTCTTTAAATAAGATCGCAGTGATAATGACAGGTTTCATTCTAGAATCTAGAAACTGGACTGAGTCCACATTATATTACACACACTTACTGAAAAAAAACAGAGCTTTCACCTAAAAGTTAAACCAGGGAATTTAAGCTTGTTGCTAAACAGGGGCTAAATCTTCCCTGTCACCACAGCAGAGAAAAAGCCTCAGCTAAATTCAATGGAAGTACAACTGGGCTTCTGAAGACCACAGATAATGCCACCTACACATCCACCACCACGTACACAAACTTAAACTCTTTACATAATTGTCCCAGTGCCAGTGGTGTTACAGCTTGATTCAGCCCCAGATGGTGGGTGTAACTTTCAGTGAACACTCATTATCTCCACTGAGGCCAGATTAAATTTATACTCTCTCTGAGTCAAAATTCTGGTTTCGGAGTCAGTGTGTACATGCC